GTTTTCTTACTTAGAAGATACAATCTTAGCACACTTTTATTATTAAAATATTTTATCATATTACTAATCATCAGACTACAAATTTTATACTTATTATACTATTAATATATCCAAAAAACTTACTAAATTCAAACTTTGGCTATTCTTATACTACAATGATAAAATTATTATTAGAAAAATATAAAAATATTTTCTATCTTCTAACTACTATTTTATTACTTATTGAATCTCTAATATAGACTTAAACTATACAAGATTTTACCTTTTACCCCTTGTTAGCTACAAACAATATATAGAATGCCATCTTAATTCTCATAAAATTAACTATACCTGTATTATTGAAATTTTTGCAATTATTTCTGTACAATTTTTTAGCAGAACTAACTCAAAGCACCAACTTAACCTCAATGCCAATTACTTGAATCTTATCTGCTTTACAGCTATTAAACATCCAACTTATATTTCTTCTTTACTTAATATCCTTATTATCAACTTTATCACCTTTGAAATCTTTATTTCAAGCAAATTTATTAATAAACTTATATCTATTTCATATCACAACCTCTCTTACCAGCAAATATCTTACTATACTGACAGATCTGTAATTGATATTGGTACTGACCAATGCATAATGAGTATTGGTAGGATTTAAGTCAATAATATTAATTAAATTATTAATTTCTTTTCTGCTAAAATTAAATTCTAAGCTTCATCTTACAAAGCAGAACTTTTCTTAACTATTACTACAATTTCAACTACTCCTTGAAACTGTATTATTAATATCTTTATAGACTTTTAATCAGTAATTTTTAAATTTAATAATCTTCAACTTAAGTCAATTCACTCTAACAAATTACTCAAATTTAATTTATGACCAATTTGGTATACTCTTCTAAATATTATTAAATCATACAAATTACAAATTACTTATTATAAAGTACAAACTCATTCAGATAACTATCTTAATAAGCAAGCAGACTTTCTTGCTAAACAATACCCACTGTTATTACTTCTTTTATTTAACTATACAAATCTCTACAACTCTTATAATATTCTTTAATAAGAACATCATTATGTAGAACTTCCTACAAAATATTTTATTAAACAAATCTGTAAAACTCACATTTTAGATATATAGACATTACAAAAATAAAACAGTGAATGATTATACTTTAACCAAGACATTGATTGGAGATCCACTTGGCTTTATTTCAATTACAATCAAAAACTCTCATACAATATTACCAACTTTAGACTTAATTAACTAAAATCCTTTAAAACAAAAATCTTTTTTAATAAGTTGCCAACATACTTATTATATCATATTATTTATCTAAGCCAATATCCAGATACTACTTGTTTTTTTGTAACTTACCTAATTCTCATTCCTTTTGGCATACTTGTGCTAATTTATCTTTACTTGATCAAATTATCTAAACTTCTACTAACTAAATTATCTCTAATAATTTGTCTAATCTTAATACCTATCATAAACACAACTTAATTAACAAAATTCATTATTCAGCTTTTAACTTTCTATATACATTACCTAATACTTACTATCTCAATCTTACTTTTAAAAAACTTATCCCAAAGTCTCTTATATCAACAATTTAAAACTCTGATATTTCATATAAAATAACCTCTCAAGTTATTATTAATATTTTTTTTAATATTAATAAACAATCATATGAACAACTATGAAAAACATATTGTATTCACTTCTCCAATTGGAAAAATCAACAAAACAAATCTTGATCTTAACTAATTAACCAATCTTCAAGATCATCCAATCCAATTAGAAAACATATTTGCTTTCAAAAAGATTACACTTACTCATGCCTTTGTAGACTTCCTGATTAATTACATTCTTACTCAAATACATGCCTTTCTATTAGACAAGCAATTCACAAAATTAACATTTGGTCTATCTTATAGATCAAATATAGCATATCATCAAATTATATATTAAACATCCAAATCTAGGTGAGCTTTGACCACTCTAGTAGGTTTAGGTCACAGATAAACTAGTCTGAGCTTTTATTCTTGCATGTAATTTTCAATTTATTTGTTTTGTACAAATAGTAATAGCTATATAGTTAGCAGTTTAATGGTTAGTCCTGACTGCAAGTGTTAGCCTCAGCCATAGCATATATATATGTAACTATTTTAAATTCTTAATAAAGATATAAGCAAGGCCTCATTTTAATACCAAAAAAAAAAAAAGATTAACTTTCATTAATACAATATTTTTAATTTACTTATAAAAATTTAAATTTATATTAAAAATAAAACAATTTATTTTCAAAAACATATAAAACCTTAAAAAAATTTATCTATAATAAAATTTTTATAAAATTAAATTTTTATTACATTATTACTGTTTTTAAAATAACTAAACATATCAAAAAATTTTAATTAAATATATATATTAACTTAGAATTATTAGTAACAAAAATTTTTATTTCAAATATATCGATATATATATTTTAAAATATAACTAAATATGTATAATTTAATTAAAATATTTAAAAACTTTACTGTATACGTATTAATAATTTTAAATCAATATATGAGCAGTATACACTTTATTTAAAAAATTTTATATCATTATTTTGAAATTATAATACCATAAAAAAAAAAAATCTAATAGTTCAAAAAATTTTAAATCACATATATTTATAATTAGCATATCCTATAATTCATTAAAAAAATGAAACGACTTGACATTATGGTAAGCAAGGTGTATTTAAAGGTCCGTTATCTCTTCGATGTGAAAATATTCTAAAAATAATAATCGAATCAATCAATGTTATTTAAAGAGGAAATTGAATAATAAATAATAATATTTTGCTTATTAACTCACAAGTATAAGAATAGTCCAACGTAAGGGAAAAAGAAAATTAATAAAATCCATAAGGCTTTGTCACAACTATTGCGACTACTTTGAAGAACTTCCCAGATAGAAAGAATATCAAGAATAAGCTTAGGAAAAAAAGGATTAGATCAGGTGTTTCTGTTTAAAGAGAATAAGAAACAACTGTTTAATAACTTACAACTATGACACTTAAAATAGTAAGGATGAAATGAATTAAAGTGTAGGCCATTATTGATTATTGTTTTTCCAACTGAGAGATTTTTTATTACCACTTTTATTACAAGAAGCGACGAGAATGAGAGATATAACTTGAGGCACTACAATATCGAATGATTTTAAATAACATTATATCGGATGATTTTAAATAACATTGTACAAAGGAGGCGCGGGTGCCGAGTCATATTAAACCTGAACTCATACTTAAAAGAATTGATGGTTTGCGCTGTAAAGGTCAACAAATTTATTCGGGAGACAATATTTACATATTGGTGATAGCTAATGTTAAAAGCAACGCCACAATATTGAGAAAACCGCTATAAGCCATTTGGCAATATTTTGATAGTGGAAAACAACTGTGTGACTAACAATGCTAGTTTCTTTGGGATACTAGAGCCATTTACTTAAAAATGTCGTAAGGCGAAGTAAACATAAATAAATTATCTCTTATAAATATGTATGTATGGAATGGTTTGCCTCGTTAAACCCGATATATCCGCAGAAATCAAAGTAGGAATGTCTAGTTACATATATGTAAACAGCGATTAACTTTGCTCATGAGAAATTACAGGAAACTTGAATTAAAATTGATACCAAACTTTTCATTTAATATTAAGTGAATGAGTACATGATTATTAACTCATACAGAAATAAAGTAATAATATTTGTTATTAAGTATTGAATTATTTAGATATCGAGTGAAATTTCAATGAAAAACAACACTCCTTTAGAACAAAAAACATATTAATGAAAAGATATAAAAATCAAATTATTAAATATCTTTGCAGAACTCTGAAAATCCTTTCCCACCTTAATTAATGTTAGGGAATCGCGGTATATGCACCGTATTCATGTCTACTGGACAAGAGGCTGAAAAATAAATAAAAATAATAAATGTAAAAATTAATTACTATCGCTATTATATTTTAAAATATTCATTTGTTTGTGTTCAAAAAATCAAAACGAATAATTTAACAAACTCAAAGCCTTGCGCTGCCCCCAGCCACAACAGTAAACGTATTTTTTAAAAAACTTACAAATACAAAATCAACCCCAATAAAGGGAAGAAAATAATCAGCAAACTCCATAACAATTTATGAACAACAGGTCTGGAGCTTTGAAGAATTTCAAAGATGGCAATAAGATCTAAAACAAGCTAAAAGGAGCAAAAGAATGAAGAAAAAGTTGGGCGAATTCAAAACAACATAGTAGCGATGCCTGATACCAACAATTATAAGGCCGACAAGACCTCCGGTATAATGAAGCAACGTGTCAGTCATTTTCAATTTTAGGCAGCAGAAGAGTAAGATTTTTTTTTTTTTTTTGTACAAATTTGAGTGTTATTTTGTACGTATATCGATATGATTAAGTAATTGTCTATGTAAGTGACTATTTACGTATCTCTTGCGTAATTCGTGCGTAACCGATAACCTGCAAACGTATAGATAAGGAAATGATGAAAGATATTAAAGTTTATGTTTATGCAACCTAACTGTAATTTTTTTGTGTTTCCGAAAACTTTAGTAGAATATTTTCCCAAACATAATCAATGTATCAAATCAATATGCACAAGATGAAAATTTATTGCATAAATTTTACTATAATACATCAGGTATAAATTGTCCTTGATTGTTAATTATGAAAAAATTCGTCGAACTAAATTCATAGGAATGAATAAATGAATACCGCTAAATACTAATTTTAAATCACAACAGTGGTCTCAAAATCATATATATTTTTATATTATAATAGCTTTGTTACTAAAATTTAGGAATTTTATCCGGGTGCGAATATTTTGTTTAGAGCATCAAAAACTAATTATTCAGCTAGATTTTGAGATATAGATGGTGTTGAACATCACTGGTGTGATCTAATAACACAGACGAAAAAAAAACAAAAAAAAAACTTAAGAATATGCTGGAGGTTTGTCTCCATCACGGAATGGATTCGTACTCCAAGTGCTAAAGTAGGCCGAATCAGGACGGTCGCCTGAAATAAAGGTATTTAAGGTAGTAATGCTTAGTGGTCTACCACCAACAATTTTTTCGGGTTTGGTCTTGGTCGTCCAAGAAAGCAACATCCCGTAATAATCCTCAAAAATTCCTTTTTGTTCAATATCTTCGTCATCATATGTAATAGACATGTTAAAAGTCTTTTTGTCTCTCAAAGTAATATCCAAGGAAAGTGTATTTTGATTAAAAAAGTTGTTGAAATCGAAAAAGTTCTTTTTTTGCTTCACTGAAGATACAACATCAGCTAACATGACATAAAAGTTTTCAAATCCATCTGGACTAGGCTCATAAGCGATAAATATGATTCGTTTATCAGTAAGAAAAATCATCCCTGTTGCAGATTGCACCATGGATGGATTCTTTAATTTAATAGAGAAATCTACCGGTTGATGACGATGATAATAACTTTCATTTTCTAATGGAACCGGAAATTTATGTCCATTACGGATACGGATTGGAAGTGTGTTTATGTACATTTTTTATTTCTCAAAGGTTTAAGATTTCTTTCGATTTTTACTTTTTTTTAGTTTTTTTTACTTGGCGGAAATAAAAAAAAAGTTTTTATTAGCTGGGAAAATTAACTGGATTGTTTTTTATATCAAATTGTGTTGTTTGTGTCATATGAATAAATGATAATAAATGATATCACAAATTTCTAAAATAAGTGGGGTGATTCCTTATAGATTGATATCGACATGACCACTGGAATTTTTTTTGATATGGTGAGAGTTTATATGTTGGTTTGGTTACAAAGGGTTAGCACATTCTTCTTCACTAAAAGGTGAATTTCAAACAAGGTTTTACCTTGCAATTATCCTGTATTTTTATTGGTGTAGTAATCTGTGTGTCTCGCACGGGAACAAATAAATATGCGAGTTTACGAAAAAATGCGTATCATCGATTAAGGCTTTGTCACGGCGTAGTTTCAGTTTGCGGTACCAGCTAACCATTTTTGTTATACACTAAAATAGTTCATAAACCCATTTTCGGAATGTTATTACTTGACTGCTTTTTTCTTCTATTTCGTTCTATAAAAAACAATAGTAGATCATTTTAAAATATTTAAAATAATTAATTTAGTATTAATCAATAATTATGGCAGACATAAATAGTCTTTCTGATCGTCTTCTTTTTGGAATTCCCAAAAAAGGTCGTCTTCATGAAAATTGTCTCTCTCTTCTTAGTGGTGCAGACGTTAATTTTCATCGTCCTAATAGGCTTGACATTGCCCTTGTTTATAACCTCCCAATCGCTCTTGTGTTTCTTCCCGCTGCTGACATTCCAAAATATGTTGCTGATGGAAATGTTGATCTAGGAATTACTGGCCAGGATATGGTCGAAGAATCCCAAGTTGGTGATAAAGTTGAACAACTTTTAGAATTAGGTTTTGGAAAGTGCAAATTACAAGTTCAAGTTCCGATTAAAAGCAATATTAAAAAAGTTGAAGAGTTGGTCGGAAAAAGGATTGTCACAAGTTTTGAAGTATTAGCTGGTGCTTACTTTGAAGATTTGGATAAAAAATATTTGAGTGATGATCAAAAAAAAGAAGGGATGAAAACAAAAATTGATTATGTTAGTGGGAGTGTTGAGGCCGCTTGTGCTCTTGGTTTAGCTGATGGAATCGGTATATATTTGTGTTTAAATGTTTAGGACTTTATATATTTAATTAATTATTATTAATTAATCACTTTTTAAATAGTTGATTTAGTTGGTAAGTATGTCATTTGCTCTAAATTGACTATAACTCTGACTAATCGCTTGGTTTATTAATCTTTTAGAATCTGGTGAAACAATGAGAGCGGCCGGTCTTCATCCTATTTCTACACTCAATAGCACACAAGCAATTCTAATTCGTAATAAACACTCTTCTAATAATTCACTCATCACCAAGCTTACATCTCGAATCAAAGGTGTAATAGCTGCTCAAAAATATGTATTACTTAACTATAACATTCAACGTAACTTCCTTAGCAAAGCTACTAAAATTACTCCGGGTAGACAAGCCCCTACTATTAGCCCTTTAGATGATAATGAGTGGGTTGAGGTGCAAAGTATGGTGCGTAAAGATGATGTTGCAGAAATCATGGATCGATTGGAAGAAATTGGTGCTAAAGATATTTTGGTTTTCAAGATTGATAATTGTAGAGTATAGATTTGTTTTATAGATTTATAGATACATATGTATTTTAATGTAAGATATAGACTAAATTTTTAAAACTGTTACACTTTATATATTATTAAACATTCTTTTATTATGAGACTGTTTATTATAATAATTTTAGCTGCAAATAAAAAGTACAAACCTTCTTAATAACGAAGTAATGAAAAAAAATAAATTAAATATATTGTATTCGTAGCAAAGGAATATACACTGTATAATATTAAGAGAATTATAGTATGCCTTTTACACTTACCTTACTAAATTTGATCTATTCATCGATATTTATAAGATTTATAGCTTTTCTACAATGACTGGTACAACAATATAAAATTGGTAAATCTATATAAATTTAAAGAATAAACCAGATTGCTTAACTTTGCTTAGAAAGGCATTACTTTGTCCATCTAGGTCAGGTGAAAGATCCAAACAAGGTATTTGTCCATTAGGTAAACATCCTATTGGACATGCTTTCCATTCTTCAGAATCATACATTTTCCATGCTGATTCTAAATTTGAATCTGTAATATGATTATTTTCTTCTACTGACTAAAAAGGTCCATAATATTGTTAAAGTTGTAAAAATGATAATCATGAATCATATACTAAGGTGCCTAGCATCTTATGATACATAATCAATCTGGGTTCGTTTCACCGACAGCTCATTTAGCCGACATTACGCCAAGTGACAATTTACTATAAATATATACAAGTGACTAATCCTAACCCTATGTGATGTCGGTCAAATGAGCTATCGAAATAAATCTTTTGTCGATCGATTTTTTAATACATACTCAAAGTAGAATACAGTTAACTCTCACTAAACCGAGCCTGGATAAACCGAACATTTGATATGTTTTGTCTAACCGAACTTTTAAATTTTGAGATTTTATTGAGGCTTAACTATTTATTCATGTCCTTAATAAGCCCCAAGGGTTCGGTATAGAGAGAGTTGATTATATATTGGTATAATTAAAGCGTATATACTTTCTATCTTATTTTCGCCAAATAATGGGGTGAACGTTGTTTAAAAACCGGCCCCTAAAATAGTATGTACGGTCTTAAAATGATGTCTGTGCGTGTCCCAAATAACGCACATTTCATAAAGACCCGCCATAACGATAAAGCGAGTGCATCAATTGCGGGTATTGCGTTATTTTGAAAATCAGTTTCAGAGAAAAATTGTCTGTCTCAAAATAACGCAAATGCATATATCAAAAATAACGCGCAAATATTCATGCTAACATGAGGTTGGCATTATTTCGCGAAAATGTAGCATAAAAATTACTAGAATTTTTTATTATTGTGATCTATTGTATAGTCCAGACTAGTGTTATGCGAAATATTCACCTGAGTTAATTCATCAGGACAAACATTCAGCATACAGTAGTGCTATTTGCTAGATACTTTATTATCGTGAAAAATAGCGCGTTATTTCGAGACAATTTAAAGAGTGCTAAGAGTTGGTTTAGCTGAGTGTGAACAATAATTTTATTTTGTGTCTCGAAATGACGCCTCGGACGTTATTTTACGACAATATGGTATTCACCAGAGTAATTATTTGACACTAAAAACTCGTAGGCATAAGTTCTAATTGGCTAATAAATTCAATTTAATTTTACATTATTTATACAGTTTAGAAAAAAACGAAACCTAATTATAGTGAAATAAGAAAAGCTGCATAGAAGGTTCATTAGATCTGTATGACTCCATAGACAAAAATAAGCTCTAATTCTCGTCCGTTTAAAAAAGTTAGTATAGTAATAACTTCTCAAAACCCAATAAAATCAACTTATTACTAGGCTAATTTTTTAAACGAGCAAGAATTGGATCTTATTTTTAACTATGGAGTTCTACAGCTTTAATGAAACCTTCTATATAGTTTTTTTTACTTTACTGTGGTTGGTTTTCGTTTTTTTAAAAGTAATCTAAACTGTATAAATAATGTAAAAATTAAATTGAATTTATTAGCCAATCAGACGAGCCTCTGTCTATGAACTAAAAACACCCAAATCGCGTATAAAAACGCTCAAAATACAATAATATATTTACTTACCTCTTTCAAATTGACTATGCTGTTCAACTCCTCTTGAAACTCAGATATTTCCTTGTTCATATCATCATCTGTGATTCTTGGAACATTTTTATCAAAATCAAAGTTCTGAAATAATTTAAAATAATTTAAAATAATTTCAATATTCGTACAGATTCTTTTATGCTAAGATAATCAACATAAACATCTCACATCATTGAAACTTAGCATTTTAACAATGTAATTCATGAAAGGTGTGATAACTGTCTTCAACTCCTCGTCATGATCGATCATAACTTGTAATACCATTTTCGTACTAAAATAAAATCAATTTGTAAGTTTATAAGAAACGATATAATAATCACGAATTACTCACTAAGGATTTGGTTTTCTTAAACAAAATTCAAGAACATTTTCCAGATCCAAATCAGAAAAGGTCACAAAATCACCCGTGTAATAAAGTTTTAGAATATGACTTATCCACGCCACTATGAATTAAAGTATAATTACTGAAAGAATTATCGTTTAAAATATAGAAATTTTTAGGCTTACCAAGAGTTAAGTGATAACTGGAACTTGAGTGGATTAGTTTAGGTTGCTGTATCAAATCCGAAGCAGGTGGCTATATATAGATTGATAAATTTTGAAAATTGAAGGATTTTGCAAATTTGAACAGAATTTATTGATTTTACCTACAAAGTTTGTCAATTGAATAAGATTGGCGTCACGATTAACGCTCTCTAAAATTTTATCAAAGTCTAATGTTAATTTCTTGACAAATTATATGCAACACCAATGTGTAATAATCAAATACCTTCATCCATGACCAATTTCTCTAGTATACCCTGTACTAATTCGCTGCCAAAATTAGTCCATTCATTATCAAATTTACACAATATGGCAGACCATAAATCTAACAAATCCTTTGATAATGTTTGGTCGGTCACCGAAGCTCTCTTTCTAAAATAAAAGTACAATTGTTCAAAATCTCATATAATTGAATATTAAGATTAGTATTTATATACTTTGTCTCTGTTGACACCAGAAATCCTTCTTCTAATAAGACAGGTATAAGTAAATCTCTCACATATTCTGCGCTAACCAAATTTAATAATCGTTTAACAATCTTATCCGTGGAATTCATGTCATCCAGTTCCGAATCTGTAAACATAATTATATTATAATAATAATAATAATAATAATTGTTTTCTGATTAGGTTAACTACCTTTTAAAATTTTCTCTCGCAATTCTTTGTATTTAGAAAGCAATGAATGAATTTCGTTCATGTGCGTTGATTGCAATGGTCTTTGGATTCCCCAATAATTTTCATTAAGCCATTGCAATGCCTAACGAATATTAACATTCATCATTTATTTTTTTAAATAAACAGATTAATACATGTATATATATATATATATGTATTAATTTGTACCTGTCGACATCCATTTCGCAAAACTTGTAAGCTGGGAAGATGTTCATGTGTTCCAGCATGACGTAATTCAACAAACCATAATGGCATATTAAGTTTTAATGCTAACGACGCGACAGATGATGCATATGAACCTTGAGTTGGATCTACCATTCCATTGACAAATCTAAAAAAGAGATCATACACAATTGAAGAAATTTTTATTTATTTTTACAATAATAAAATGTTATAGAAATATACCTAATGAAAGCCATTGAATATAATAATCTCAACTCATGATTAGATATTTTTCCAAAAGAAATTGTATCTCTTAAAGATACTTCTACAAATGCAGCAGTGCTCACAACAGCATGAGGATTTTTTCCACGGGCAGACCAAACCTTGGCCTTTTAGGTTGGTAAATTAAAAGTCAATATAATAATTATGTATAAAATTTTGTTTTTTGCTTTTTGCTTACACGTTTGACACCTAATTCGTTTTGTTTTGGATCATTAGAGTATAACCATTGATATACTTGTTGATATTCTTCTGAAGTTGTCCAAGGCACAATTCTGGGAAAACGAGACATTCTGAAAAATATATTAACATTAAAAGTTACACGGGCTTATAATAATCGCCTTCAAAATTTCACGAACACGTGACCGTATTTGCGGCGGGCAAACTGAGGTTAATTATGTTTAAATTATGCGATCGATTATGCGATTTTTAACCTTCTCTAAAATATTTATTTATTTTATTAAAATTTAAAAAATTTAGCATTCTAAGCGAATTTTCTGACAATGCATGTCTATTATCTGTTAAAAAATTCGTTTATATGCTGAAAAGCTGCGTTCTACATCTACCCTGAAACTGGCAACCAAATATACACTAGTGCAATTTTGCTAAGATTTGGTATCTTCTCATGCCAATACTTGTCTAAACCAAAATCTTCACTGAATGTTTTCGATAACCCTGAATTAATTGCCCATTCATTCATAAGATCATTTGACGGATTTTTTAACTCCTTAATTTCCTTGTATAATGCAATATTGCATCGGTCAGCTTGAGCTTTGTAAATATCGTGGGTCAAAGCAACGAATTGCTTTAAAGATTGGAAGCGCAGAACATGTTTGCCCAATTTTTCATATGCTAGTTGGAATACTTCTTTGAAAATTGCATCATATTGAAATATTATATTGATGTGTTTGGCAAAGATCAATTATCTCATTTGATTTGGAAGGTATTTGGTGATCAGATTTTAGGTGGGCACATATTAGCCCCAACCTGTCTGCAAGGAATGGTGCAACTGGTTTATTTTGAATTTTAAAAAACTCAATCAATTTATATAATATTAATATATAATAATAATAAAATTATTTAATTAGTAAATAATTAAATATTAAAAATTGCATCATTACTTACAATTGCATGTTAAAAGTAATAAAATAAAGAATAAAACAAATTATCTTGATTTTCAAAAACTTTTATTGGTTCTAAATTGTTGCATTATTATAACTCATTTCATATTCCTTGAAATAAAAATCAACTAAAAGAGTAAAATAATCATATATTCAAAAGACAAACTTGAACTATATATTTTACTTTGTTTTATAAATAATGGTGAAAGCATAAAATTAGAGTAACTATTTAAAGAACTAAAAGAAATTTATTGTCATTTTCTAGTTAAAAAATATATAAAGATTGTTCTGGTTAAATTAGTTGAATTATAAGTTTAAAATGTTTATATTGAATTTATATTTTATTTACTAAGTTAAGTATATAAGCAAAACAAGTGTTATGCTTAATTTGAAGTATTAAAAATAAAAGAATATTAAATGTAATTAACATATACAAAGCATTGTTTATAATGAACAAGGTTGCATTTTCAAAAGAATTTTATAATAATACAATGTTAAAATAACAAGTTGAAAAATAGTAGTTTTATTAACAACTTATAAGTAATCTGTTTTAACTAAATTTGTTTTATTAAAATAGCAATAGATAACATTATTACTTATTATTATATCTTTAATATTTTACTGAATTTTTGACAAGCTAATATATATTTTTTGTAATAAATGTTTAATATATATAAAAATAATAGTACTAAAAGTAAAGTAAATAATTTTATATATTTTAATTACTAACTAATTAATTAAAATTAAAATTTTCTAATAATATAAATGATTTCTAAGATCAATAGCATAGTAGTTATGCTCTGAGGTTACAAATCACAAGGCTGTTAGTTTAAATCCTAGTAATGGCAATTATAGAAATATATTTGAAAAAAATAAAGAACTGCAATACTGTATTACTAAGGATTTAAGCTGTTTAAGAATAGATTTATTTTTAAAAACAGCAAGTAACCTGCAATTGAGAAGTTATATAGTAATAAACATAAGTTAAAATCTAATTTGAAAGAACTGAAGTTATAAGACATAATGTAAGACTAAAAGTCTAACAATAAGAAATACTATATAAACTTATAACAACAACTAGTTTTATATAAAGTTTGATAAAACTTTTGAATCCTAACAGAGATTAGTATAATGAATTACTTCTAAAAAGTTTAAAAGTATAGATCAAGGTTTAGTAATCTTAAATATTGAAAACATTAGTTTAAAAAAATATAAAAAATATGAAGAAAAATCTCAACAAGACTGTCGAAAAGAAAAAAGAAAATAATATAAATAATATATAAATAATGATGCATTCTATAGTTTTTCCAGAACAAATTAATTTTTTTTCTGAAATATGTTAATTTTCTTTTCTTATTTTAAACAAATATATATATATTTTTTAATATTAAAGATAAATATTTATAATTTAGATTTTTATTGATAGTATGTTTTAACTTTGTAATTATATTACAACAGTTATAGTAAACAATTATAAAAAGAATATACAACTAGTTACTTATACAACTTTAGTTATTGTATAATTTAAGTAGTCTGTTTAAAGATTTTATACTAGCTGTCATACCTAGAACTTGTTTGTAAATTCTTTATTTAAATATTTTAGCTTTTGTATTTACTTACCTATCTATTTTACCAACTATTTTAGTTTTTATTAGTACAAATATATCATGATTACTAGATCTTTAAAGCAGTTCAACTTATATAATAAATCTTTGACATTATACTAAACTTATCAAAGTCTTTTATTATCTAATTTTTAGTTAACTTGATATTATTATTATTATTATTTTTTTTTTTTGAACTTTGGTGACAATGCCAGTTAGTTTTTATTAGCCTTAATTTAATATAGTACAAATTTATGGTTACATTTTTAGGATTGATTATTACTAGTACTATATACTATCTAATTTAACACTACTGACTTCACTCAGTTACCCTTATGGCACCTAAGTGCATGTCCGCCACTATTTATAATTTTTAGTTTTGATTTGGATTTATTTATCTTTAAATTATTTATTTTAAAGAACTCTTTAACTATTTTCAAAATTTTTAATAGTTGTTTTTTGCTACTTGCAATCTAAGTTGTGTTATTAGCATATGCAATTGCTGCTTGACAATATCTTGTAATATTGTTGCATTGCATACTTCTTTAACATGCTGCTCAACTATATATTCTAAGCTTTCATCTTTTTGACTCTTTCTAATAGTGAGTCATAGAAAAAACATTATACTAATAATAAAATTACTTTATCTTGGTCTATTTTATCTTTTGCTATTATTTTTTCTGTTGGCTATATGCTATAATTATCCTTAGTTGTTTTTTGTAAAAAAGATTTAATACATATTTAATTATTTTCTTGAGTATTTTAACTCTTTGCAATGCTAACTCAAAGCTTTTAAAAGAAACTAAATTGAATGCTTTTTTTATATCTTGCAGCAATATCCATATTTCTTTGTCTTTTACCTCTTCTATTATTATATTTAGAATTTGTATTAGTTGTTCTATTAAGTTTTTTAAAAGGCTTGCAAAGTTTGGTTCTCTAAGTATTTTTTTTTTATTAATACTTTGGCAAGTTTTTTTGTTACTATCTTTGTTATAACTTTTCTAAATGTTTCAATTAATGCTATTGGATAAATGTTGTTTAAACTATATTTCTACTTTATATTAGATAAACTTGTATTATCTTTTACTTTACTGAAATTTCTTTTGTTTCTAAACATAAGTTGTAAAGCTTTTAAAGATTTCTTGTATTCTCTTTTCTGCTCTTTTTATCAGTATATAGCTTATATCTAAAATACCTAAAACTGTTCCTATTTTTAACTTTTTTAGTATCTTTTTCTATTCTTTCTTTTTAATTTTTTCTTTAACTTCTGTATATTAGTACTTTTTAATATTTTTTTGTGACTTGTATATCTCTTTTTATTTTTTTATCATTGTTTCTAGTTTGGTGTTTTTTTTCTAAACTGTATTTTGTAATGTTCTGCTATATTTGTCTTAATCTTTTTTGGTTTTATTATTAGATGTATCTTCTTTTCTATTTGTTTAATAAGTCTATCAAGTATTATTTTTTTATATATCTATTTAAAAAACTGGCTATTATTTTTTTTAATTTGTTTTAATCATTTTATACCTCTTATTTATATTTTTTTTATTTGTCTTCTTTGTACTTGTTTTTATTCTTTTTTCTTTCTTTTTTGTAAGAGCTTCTGCCATTTTTTTATGTCTTCTATCCAAGCATTTGACTATTATCTTTGTAATTTTGGTAGTCTTGCATCTAATTTCTTGCCTAGTACTTTTACTTGTTTATTTGTCTTGCTTTTTTCTTTTTTTGTTACTTTTTAGTTCTTTTATATTTTTGTATATTTAATTAATATTTGAAGTTTTATAATATCTTTTTCTTGCTGTTGTTCTTTTTGACTTATTTTTTTATTTGCTCTTGTATTATATATTTTTTTTTTAAATTTATGCTTATTTGCTATTATAATAATTGCTTTTTTTATTGTATTTCATATACAAGTTATTTTGCTTATATGTTTCTTTTTAATTTGCTCTGTCTTTTAAATATTTTTTAGATTTTTTTTTATTTTTAATTGTTTTTGCAGCTCTTGCATATAGTATTCTCAATCTTCTAATTTTACTTGATTATATAAATATAAATTTCTTAATTGTTTTTTTCTTTTAACTTCTGTTTTACTATTTTTTCTTTTATATATTTAATTTATATTTCAGTTGTTATTTTTTTATAATTACTTTTTGTAATTTTTTCTGTTTTCTTAATATTAGTTTTTTGCAAACCTAAAGTCAGTTCTTCTAATATCTATATATAGTTAATTCTTGCTACTATTTCTTTACTTGACTATATATATTCTTGGCTTATTAGATACATGTCTCTGTACATATCTATAAAGTCTTGTTTTTTTATCTAATTAAAGATTACTAGTCTTTTAAAACTTGTTAGTTGTATTTGTTGTCTGTTTAGTATATTGTTTGTTGTATGATTAAAGTCTTCTATAATCACAAATTGTGTTTGTCTCTTCTGTCTAGCAACTGTTTTTACAATCTTTTGTTAAATGTCTCTTTCTATCACTACTAGCTCCAATTGTTTAAAATATAGTATGATCTTTATCATGTATTTACTTATATTCTTAATTGCATCTACATATTTTTCAT